AACTGCCGGTCAAAAGTTTGGGATAAGTAAGATTTTTAATGTTTTTTTAAAGAAGTCTCTTCTGCTCATCATGGCTGCATTTATTTGATCAGAAATACAGAAAAAAATTGTAATACTGTGAAATATTATTGCAATTTAAAATACTGGTTTTCTTTTTTTAATATATACTTTAAAATGTAATTTATTGCTGTGATGCAAAGCTGAATTTTCAGCATCATTACTCCAGTCTTCAGTATCACATGATCCTTCAGAAATCATTCTGATATGCTGATTTAATATCAATATTGGAAACTGTTTTGCTGCTTCATATATTTTTTTTTTGGAACCTGTGATACTTTTTCAGGATTCTTTGATGAATAAAACATAAAAAAAGAACAGTGTTTATTTGAAATATTAATTTCAAAAATTTGTAATTGTAATTTTTTTTTTTTTTGAAAGAAATTAATGTTTTTATTCAGCAAGGATGTATTAAATTGATAAAAAAGTGATGATAAAGACTTATATTGTTAGAAAATATTTATATTTTAAATAAAGGCTGTTCTTTTTTACTTTATTCATCAAATAATCCTGAAGCAAGTATCACAGGTTCCAAAAAAATATTAAGCAGCAAGATCCCAAATCGATAATAAATCAGTATATTAGAATGATTTCTGAAGGATCATGTGACACTGAAGACTGGAGGAATGGTGCTGATGAAAATTCAGCTTTGCATCACAGAAATAAATTACATTTTAAAGTATATTAAAATTGAAAACCATTATTTTAAATGGTAATATTTTATAGGGCTGCCCTCGACTAAAGATTTTTCTGGTCGACTAGTCGTTCATTTTAAGCATTAGTCGACTATTAGTCGCAATTTTATTAATAAACCATATAAATCATAATAATGAGCCTTTAAGTGCCTACATAGCCTAATAAGCGCTAAAGCGCACGCAAAAAAAAGGCTTGCCACAGCGCACCGGCAAATATAATAATTATGAATGTGTTCGGGAGAAAGAGCAAGTACACTGCATTAATGTTTTAATAATTTATTGTTACACTAGTGTTTTCGGTTTAAAAGATGAATTCTGATTCGTCATCTCCGCAGTATGCGCCTGTATGCATGTTTCATACGGATTACATAATCCGAGAATATTTGTTTTCTATTTGAATTGGTTCATTTAAAAGCTTCACTCTCTATAGATATATTTTTCATGTCTGTAATAAGGCAAGAATACACGGAGTTTCGAAGTGACGCGCTCAAGTTCTCAGAGTCCAAGACGGCAGAAGGCGCATCCTATTTGTTTTAATTATTTTACAAAAGCGCAACGTTTCGTTGTTATTGTGAGTGCACATGAATAAACGTAGAGTCTTTACTCTTATCTGTATGACCAAATGATCGCACCGGCGCCTCCATCTGTCCTGCAGTAGCCCAAGCGCGCTACTGTTCAGCTTCCACACTCTGCACTATGTAAAGCCATGTAAAGTTGCTACTACATACATATTTCAGATGATAAGCCATATTTGAGGTCGATGAATGTTACGTGAGCATATGGATGTCCTGCTCGATGTACTATATTACCACATAGACCAGCCGTTAACGATTTGTCCAGCACGGACTGCATGATTTCGCCATTTCATGTGGAATTTGTTTTTTCTGCGACTAATGAAATTTTGGTCGACCAAGCCTCCTCTCGTCGACTAACCATTAGTCTCGATGAATGTTACGTGAGCATATGGATGTCCTGCTCGATGTACTATATTACCACATAGACCAGCCGTTAACGATTTGTCCGGCACGGACTGCATGATTTCGCCATTTCATGTGGAATTTTGTTTTTCTGCGACTAATGAAATTTTGGTCGACCAAGCCTCCTCTCGTCGACTAACCATTAGTCGACTATTACGGGGCAGCTCTAATATTTAAAAATATTACTGGGTTTTTTTCTGTATTTTTGGTCAAATAAATACAGCCATGATGAACAGAAGAGACTTCTTTAAACACGTTAAAAATCTCACTAATTGCAAGCTTTTGAACAGCAGTGTATATGCATGTGCATTTACATTGCTTTGATTGTTCTCTGTAGATCGCACTTTCTTGCAATCACTACGATTGGTTGATTATGTACAATAAAGCATGCTATTGGTGAAATTATTTTTCAGTTATTACCTTCAGCAAGTATGAAAACAATAAGAAAACTAAGCCGAAACCTGGACCTTTTAGGCAATTGAGAAATCCTGGCCAGGACATGTCTGGGAAAAAGAGGACGTATCACAAATGGTCAGATGAGACAGATCACGTTTCACACTTGGTAGCAACACTCTTCTCCTGTGGCCACTTGTGATTGGATTTTAAGGCAAGAAAATACATGGCTTTTTCAAGTACTGGTCAAATTTGAGATTTTAGGCTATTTTGCTTCCATAACATGTCTTCTTTCAGACTATTGGAAAGAAAACATCTAAAATACATCTATCCTATACCCCTGTGGTATCTTGCCTTAAGAGGAAGATATGACTCTTGTGGTGAGCCATGTGTTGAATCCTTAACATACGTCATGTGAAAGGAGCTTTAGTGTAGTTGGTGTAGATTGAGAGCAAACTGTGCTGAAATTGCTTTAGGTGAAAACTATCGAGACACAGCACAACAGAATCTGCTCTATTAAACATCCGTATGAAATGTGGTTGTGTTGTGTTGGTAGAATGAGGCCCGTAAGCTGAATCATCAGGAGGTGGTGGAGGAGGACAAGAGACTGAAGCTGCCGTCAAACTGGGAGGCCAAGAAAGCCCGTCTGGAGTATGAACTCATTGTGGACCAGAAGAAGAAGGTACAGTATCAGATTTTAAGCCTGTCGATTCTACTCAATCAAACAGAGTTGCAAAAATAATGACAACACAAACACTACATGCTGCCTGTGAATGTTCACACATAGAGACCAAACTCACAAAGTTGGTTAAGACTGAGAGACAGAGAGAGGAGTGGTGAGACATTATTTATATTCATTCTACGCCTGAAAGATACACGCGCTAATGGAACTGGCTGTTTTTCATTCAAGACTATGGATTGATACTGGAAACAGCCACTAATAGTAGTTCCTGTATTTGAGACTGACTGAGCAATGACTTTTTATTTTGTCATATGAAGGTTTTCTGTCTCATGGTACAAATGGCGATTATAACCCAAAAATTGAAAATTCTGTCGTTAATTACTCACCCTCGTGTTGTTCCAAACCCGTAAGACCTGTGTTTATATTCATCTGTGTGTGTGTGTGTGTTTGTGTAGGCTACGCTGAGGCCCAGTTGAGACAGTACCAGAGACTGACGAAGCAGATCAAGCCGGATATGGAGAACTATGAGAGACAGAGAGAGGAGTGGTGAGACATTATTTATATTCATTCTACGCCTGAAAGATACACACGCTAATGGAACTGGCTGTTTTTCATTCAAGACTATGGATTGATACTGGAAACAGCCACTAATAGTAGTTCCTGTATTTGAGACTGACTGAGCAATGACTTTTTATTTTGTCATATGAAGGTTTTCTGTCTCATGGTACAAATGGCGATTATAACATTCCTAGTGAAGATAGATACTTAAAGGGTTAGTTCACCCAAAAATTAAAAATTCTGTCGTTAATTACTCACCCTTGTGTTGTTCCAAACCCGTAAGACCTTCATTAATCTTCGGAACACAATTTAAGATATTTTTGATGAAATCTGAGGGCTCTCTGACCCTCCCATAAGGGCCTTTCGCACCGCAGGAACCTTTTCATAGTACCAGAACTAATTGTGGAACTACCCACTTTTTGGCGTGTTCGCACCGCCGGAACTGGGAGCGATTTTAGTACCGGACTGCCTTTTTCGAGAACCAAATTAGCTCCTACTCCAGAGCAGGGTCTAACCCGCACAACTGGTACTAATCGTGACGTATATAAAAATTTGGATATAGATTTATCGGCCAACATATCGGTTATCGGCTTTCAAAAATAAAGGATTATCGGTTATCGGTATCGGCCAAAATTTTCATATCGGTGCATCCCTAACATGTTTACTTAGCCTATTTCCAGTTTTTTTTTTTATACCTATTTAAAGTTTATGTAAGTTATTTGTTATTTTATATTAGGCATAGCCTGCCCTATAGCATGGTGTGTTTGTATTTGTTTTGTTAATAAAAGTTCTATGTTTTATATATAAGCTAAAGTCAGTTTGACGTTGTATTTTGTTGTTGCATTCAAGCAATTGATGCTGAACTGCCGCTAATTCGAAAGTGAAAGTAAAATGCGCACAGCGCTTTTATGCTATTTAAAAGCGAAGGAAAGCGAGAAAAAGAGGGGAAATTCAAACTAACTAAAAATTAACAATTGCTTTACGCCGAATTGCTGCTATTTGAAAGTGAAAGTAAAATGTGCACGCAGCTTTTACAAGCTATTCAAAAGCAAAGGAAAGCGAGGAAAAGAGGGAACGCCCCCGCGGTGATACCGGTATTACCGGTGTTGTCACACGTCGATTAACCGGTGGGAAAATTTCCTCACTGTCACAACCCTACTGGTGAGCAGATCTATTTCTAATCGCACACCTCAGTGTTTCTCCATCACAGATAGAGCAGATGGCGGCTCTTTTGAATGTGATGTTGCAGCCATTTTTAGAGCGCTCTGAGAGCACGGTCTCGTGTGTTCGTTCCTCGCTCCAGATGTGTTTGTGTCTGTTGCACATGGATGTGTGCGCCAGCGACGGGTTTGTTTATGCATGAGACGGTATTCTTCTATTTTGGAGGAGCTGCTTTTCGCTTCTGAGAGACATTAGACAGGGCCACGGCTGCTAGATCATGACGCACAAACACACTTTGAAGATGTTTGAAAGACCGTGTGTGTGGGGAGCATGTGAGGCTCTTCGATGGACTTTGAAAACTGACATTGTCTGTTGAAGCATCAGACTTGGAAATGAATGGCTACAGAGTACAGCTGGGTAATATAGCTAATGTGTGGTGTTTGCGTGATGATTTTGCAGCAATGTTGTGATGACTTTAATGTACTGTTTTCGACCATTATTTTTCCTAGAGTTAATGTTATTTTAATATTGTTCATATATTAGTAGTAGTATTTAAATTTTCGTTTCAGTAAATTAGTTTTGTGCATTTGTCATTTTTATTAGCTTTGTTTTTAATTAAAATCAAATTATATCCGTATACATAAATATATAGCTTTCATTTATTTGTATTTCTGTTTTAATCATTTTAGCTCTTAAATTTCAGTTAGTTGGCTTAAGCAACCTTTTTTCTTTAGTTTTTTTTTTTTTTATCTAATATTGACTTGTTTTTTTTAATTCAGCTTCATTTCAATTAATGAAAATTATTTATAATAGTTTTAGTTTTGGTTCATAGTAACAACAATGGCTAAAGAGTGTCTTGGGTTTTGCAATCATTTTGTTTATGACTTGAGTTTGAGAGCAATAAAACATTTTAATTAGCTTCTCTGATTCAAACTTCAGTATCAAAAACAATGATCGATTCTGTAAGTTTGTTTGTGAATCATTTCCAACCATCTGTTTCATTGAATCAGTTCAAAAGTCTGTTCATTTGCGTTTATGTTCATAAATGTAACTATTGTATTTATTTTATTTTTTGCATTAAATGTTGTTGAGCTTCTCTGATTCAAACTTCAGTATCAAAAACAATGATCGATTCTGTAAGTTTGTTTGTGAATAATTTCAAACCATCTGTTTCATTGAATCAGTTCAAAAGTCTGTTCATTTGCGTTTATGTTCATAAATGTAACTATTGTATTTATTTTATTTTTTGCATTAAATGTTGTTTTTTTTCTACCTGTGAAAACAGTTTCCTGAATTATTTTTACCTACTTCTTTCTTAAACATTTTAAACATTATTTAAAATCAGATTGAAAAGTTTTGGGAATTTTTCCTAAGAGTAAACAATGTGTGTGTGTAATCTCCATAAATGTCTTTTTGTGTGTTTAGGATTGAAAAGCGCTCGAAATACAGTCGCCGCAGGGCCTACAACGACGACGCTGACATCGATTATATCAATGAGAGAAATGCTAAATTCAACAAGAAGGCTGAACGTTTCTACGGCAAATACACCGCGGAGATCAAGCAGAACCTGGAGAGAGGAACAGCTGTGTAACTATGGAGAATGTTACTATGGTTTCCACCCCTCCATCTGCCAAGCGACCAGAAATCATGTGCAGATATTTTTAAGAAACGCTCCTTTGAGGTTCTTCTTCTCTATGGTGGTCTTGTGAATTATTATTATTATTATAATTTTTTATAGCAAATGTAATTTTTTTTTTCTCCCTACCTCCATATTCTCTTAGTAAGTTTTACTTCTGGCAGAAATATTTGCCTACAGTGTCAGTGTTTTGCTTTAGTGTAAATTCATTCATTTCTGCATCAGTTGACATTTACTTCAATAAAAAAATATTATATGAAACCGTTCAAGGTCCCTTATGATGTATAAGCGAGTTTATGCCTCAGCGTTGGTGAATTGTTGATCAACAGATGTGACTGGAAAGTGTGTTGTTGTTGTTCAACACAAAATTGATTTGAAAATGAAAAGCTATTTTATTTCCAAGATGGTATCTGGACAGCACTCATATGTAAAGTGACTGTCATGTGAAAACAAACGTTTGTGATGGAATAATGGCTACAGTTTAACTTACTGTTTCAATCACAGTACTAGCAGTATACAGTTTATATACCGTACAGTATTTAGTAGTTAGTATTCTATTTTAAATTCACAAGCTAATATCATCTTCTGAGGACTACCGAAGCCCATTTCCGCCATGCAATAAAACAATTATAAAATTACGTTTAAAAAAGGTAATTGCGACTTTTTATCTCACAATTCAAACTGTCTCTCAATTCTGAGTTTATATCTCCCAATTTTGAAATAAAAATGCAGGATTGCGAGATTAAAAGTTGCAATTCTTCGAAAATAGTCAGAATTGCAAAATATAAACTTGACCACTAAATTAAAAAACTACATTCTGAGAATAAAGGTCAGAATTGTGAGATATAATCAGTATAAATTCTAACTTATAATTTTCTCGCAATGCTGGCTTTTCTTCTCAGAATTACACGTTTATATCTCACAACTCGATGTTTACATAACATAATTCTGCATTCATATCTTGCCGTTCTAAGTATGCATCTCACATTTCTAACTTTTTCTTAGATTTATGAGGAAAAAGTCTGAATTGTGAGTGATAGACTCAGAATTTTGACTTTCTCACAATTATGCCTTTTTTTTTTTATTCTGTTTGCATTTTACAGTTGTTTTTCTTGTCATCAAATAAAGGCAATTGCAACTTCTCACATTTCTAACTTTTCTTTATATATTTTTAGTTTGCATCTCGCATTTCTGCATTTGTGTATTATTAATCGGAGTATATCTCTCACATTTCTGACGTTTTTCTTAGAATTGCAAGGGGAAAAAATCTGAATTGTGAGATAAAAAGTCACCAACTTTTCATTTTCCGTCGGTCTTAGTACACGATGTAACTACAGAAGAGTCCAGTTTTAAATAGGAAAAATATAGAAACTCTTTGGTCATTTTTGAGCGAGATGCTAACGGTCTAATCAGATTCAATGATCTATGCTAAGCTACAGCTAAAAGTGCTACCGCCAGACCCGGAGATCGGCTTAATGGATTAGAAAACGGTAAAACTCAACTGTTTAACTCTAGGGGAGTTGGAAAATGAGCCTATTTTCAAAAATAGTGGAGTGTTACCTTAACCTTTAGGCTTTGCTGTCTCTCTGTGTTTGGACATGAAGCCAAATATAATTAGTTGGTTCAAGAAACACATGTATATTTAGCATACTGCTTATACTAGTTATGTGATATGCAATATGTATGAAGATATACACTACTGTTTAAATGTATGGCATGAGTTTGAATTTTTTTGTGTTGAAAACATTTTCGTATTCTTGCAAAAGTATTGCGTTCACCCAAGAAATTTTGCATTCTCTCACAAAAGTATGTTCTCCCGAGAAACTGTTCTTTTGCAAAAGTATTGCATTCTCAAACACTGCGTTCTCTCGCGAAAGTATTGCGTTCCCCCAAAAGTATTGGGGTCTCCAAGAAATGTGGCATTCTCTCACAAAAGCATTGCGTTTTCCTGAGATACTTTGTGTTCTCTTGCAAAAGTATTGCGTTCTACCAAAGAAACATTGCATTCTTTCACAAAAGCATTCATTTTCCAGAGAAATGTTGCGTTCTCTCACAAAAGTATTGCATTCTCCGGAGAAACTTTGAGTTGCCTGGTTTGAGACGCTGTGTGCTGATTAGCCATATGACCTTTACAGCTCACGTGATTGGTTCAAAAATACCTGCGCTGTAATTCTGAAGGCATTATGTACTGTATAGACCAGGGGTGCCCAAACTCGGTCCTGGAGGGCCAGTGTCCTGAAGAGTTTAGCTCCAACCTCAATTAAACACACCTGAACCAGCTAATCAAGCTCTTAATAGGCATACTAGAAACTTGAAGGCAGGTGTGTTGAGGCAAGTTGGAGCTAAACTCTGCAGGACACAGGCCCTTCAGGACCGAGTTTGGGCACCCCTGGTATAGACCATCCTGGTTGCACTTCTTTATAGCACCGTTCCAGTTTCATAAAAGCATCAATCAAATGATTCTTTTAAGCCAGGGGTAGGCAAGTTCGGTCCTAGAGAGCCGCAGTCCTGCAGAGTTCAGCCCCAACCCTGAAAAAAAAAACTCACCAGCCTATAGCCTTAGTAATCCTGAAGACATTGATTAGCTTGTTCAGGTGTGTCTGATTAAGGTTGGAGCTGAACTCTGCAGGAATGCGGCTCTCTAGGACCGAACTTGCCTACCCGTTTTAAGCGAAACAGATGAAACGGATGCGATTATTTCAGTAGTTTTCAAACCTGTCTGAATGCTGGAGATTGATGGATATTGAATGAGTTTCATTTGCAGACTTCTGTGATAGTGATGGATGTTTTGAGAGAAAATCTGGGCATAGGCGCCGCGAGATTAAACTCATGTGATGAGCGCAAATAACCACTTGGCATCCGTGGCATCACAGAAAGCGAATTAAACATCAAATACAGTTTGCCTGCGAGGGCTTACATGAACCATTTTTCTCAAACTAAAATGAAAAGGCATCTTGTGTGTGACGAACAATGGCTTTCTTTATCCGAATATTTATACACTTTTAGTAACTGTATTTCTCTCTGTTCATCAGGATTCCTCTGTGGTTTTGCCAGGGCTTTCCAGACTTGGTGTTTCCCTTTGGCAAACTGCAAGTGCACATCAGCAGGGAGTGAAGAATAGCTGAACATGTGTGTGAATAGAAACGAGAGACAGACATTGTGTGTGTGTGTGTGTGTGTGTTTGATATTAATGGATCTCTTATCAAGTGATCTGTATCCCGATTGTTACTTCATCCATAATGACCGTGTCCATCCCTGAGGCCGGGACATCTGATCTGTGATCAGGAACAGCTGTAGGACCATCGGCACAGCTGACAGTACTGAGGTGAATAAACCTGATCCTAGATTACTTCATCTGGCAAATGCCAATTCTGCTTTGAAAATCTGATCAAGTTTGATGTTAAAGTGTGTAATTGTTTTGATGTTTAAATACTTTCTTCTTTAACAGTTTAATATATAGAGACGGCTATAAATAAGCCATTTGTAGATTGTAGATGTGTTTAAAGGGGTCATATGATGCGATTTCAAGTTTTCCTTTCTCTTTGGAGTGTTACAAGCTGTTCGTGAATAGATAAGATCCCTAAAGTTGCAAAGACTAAAGTCTTAAACCCAAAGAGATATTCTTAATAAAAGTTAAGACTGGTCCACGCCTCGTTTAAACACGCCCTCACATGTCTACGTCACGATGTGGGAAGATTTGCATAATGCCGCCCAAATGTTCACGCAAAGAAAGGGTAACTTTATTGTTGCTGCCACTGCCATGTTGTGAAGACTCTGTGTGTTTTGTTGCGAAAGCGAAAATACTATGTTTGGTCTTCCAAAAGAGGACACGACTAGAAATCAGTGGTTAAGTTGTATTTACAACACTGTTCCAGAACAGTTCAACCCAAATATTCAGATGTGTGCAGCGCATTTTATGGAGGACTGTTTCCTGATCCTGGTAGAGTAGACTACAATGCCGGCTGTTCTGACTCACAGACTGTAAGTACGTTTTCATTTAAAGAACTTGCCACTGACGATTCAAACACGAGTTTTGAGCAGTGTAGAGAAGCGCTTGTAGTTTGTAATTTCTCCGATCACAAATGCAGACATGGTTTTATGTTTACGCGGCGCGATGCAACGCGTAAAAAGACCGTATAAGTCATTATAATCCATAATGCAACGCAACGAGTAAAAATACAGTATAAATCATTATAATCCGTAAATATGTCCCCACTGGATGCAACAAATGCCTCGTTTATAATGGGTTTTATTGGTTTTGTCTCATCGCTCCGGGACATGGCTTTATGGTAAGGGGCGTAACATTTCTGTCACACGCTTGAGGCATTCGCCCAATCACAACGCACTGGATAGCTGGCCAATCACAGCACACCTCGCTTTTTAGAACGATGAACTTTGTAAAAATCGAAGCGTTTCAGAAAGGCGGGGCATAGAGGAGAAACAATAATGTATAGTATGTGAAAAATAATGTTTTTTTTAACCTTAAACCGCATAAACATTTCATTACACTAAATAATGTTCTTTTTAGCAACATCATATGACCCTTTTAACACAAACACTGTTTGATCATAACAGATCTCATTGACAGGAACGCTTTACACAAGCCAATCAATTCCTGATTCAATCAATTCTCACCCTACTTACCTAATTTAATATCCTGTTTCACTCAGAAATACATCATATTGGGAATTGTAATACATATAAGAAATGCATCATATTGTAAAAGGTCTTAAAGGTCTTTTTATAATGTCTTCAAATCTTTAATAAGTTAGCACAAACTAAATAGTTGACAACCTAGCAATACCGATAACCAATGACACTTCATTTATGTATGAATAAATGGATGATATTGAAATTGTATTCTGTCATAATAAATTAAAAATAGAATACTTAAAAATTAAATTAATCATAATAGACAAAACATTATGGATATGAAAATACCATTTTAAGATTTTCTAAAGATTACATTTAACAGTGTTATTAAAGTGTTTTTACATTCACTATTAGCCTATGTATGGATTTATTACACACAACCGTTCAGAAGTTTGGGGTCAGTAAGATTTTTATTAAAGAAATCAATATTTTTTTTCAGCAAGGATGCATTAAATTGATCATGTGACAGAACAGACATTTATGTTACAAAAGATTTAGATTTAAAATACATTTTTTCTTTTCATCAAAGAATTCTAAAAACGTTTCCACAGAAATATTTTAGCAACAGTTTTCAATATTAATGATAACAAATCAGCATATCAGAATGATTTCTGAAGGCTCATGTGACACTAAAGACTGGAGTAATGATGCTGAAAATTCAGCTTTGTGTCACAAATTATATTTTAAAATATATTAAATTAGAAAAGTTATTTTAAATTGTAACAATATTTCATAATATTACTGTTGTTACTGTATTATTGAACAAATAAATGCAGCCTTGGGGAGCATAAGAGACTTATTTAAAAAATAAATACATTTTACCCCAAACTGCATTAGACGACAGCAAAGATCATCTAAATGTTAAAACAGAATGTTAAATTGCATGTGCAGTATAAAAAAAACAAACAAACAAAAAAAATTACAATAAATAAAAAGTTATCTTATTATTGGCCAAAGTAAAAATGTATATGCACATCTCTAAATATTACACCTATTTTAGTTTAAAGCTGTAATGTATTCAGTCTGAAATGAGTTCGCAAACCAGTTTACTTTTGTGATATATTGTGTTTTCAAGTGAAAAATTGTAACTTGGGACTTGATTGTATTCATCAGGCATTGATTGGATAGGAAAAAGTGGCCCTTACATCAGAATGAATTCAGGTCGTTGGATGAAGTGATTGAAATTAAGAGGTACTAGTGACTGCTGAAAAGAAAAGTAATTTCAGCAAGTAACATCTGGATAGAGTAAATGAAGACAAACATTTTTTAGTTGAGAATAATGTGCACTGATGAATTGTGCACAATAAAATGCATTTTAAAAGTTGAATGCACTTTATTGCCGACTCTAGATGGTTCCCACATGGCCCTAAATCTTCTTGCAAAGATTAAGTATTTCTGAGCAGTCTATTTTCTATCATTTACATATATATATTGGCTAGACACCTGTGGAACGCCGTGTGTTAGTAAATGTCTGAGAGATGCTTCATTCTGATCTTAACACGCAGCAAAAACAAAAGAGACAGATCCTTCAGAACGATAACGTCTCTTCCTGGGCTCCAAAACAAGCTTCATTAGATTCTGCGGTGAGTTGCACAACACTGATTTCACTTTATTCATGCACAAACAAATGTCACAATCACCGCCAGTGAGTTTATGAAATGTTTTAGATTCCCTGCATTAAAGGGGTCATATGATGCGATTTAAATTTGTCCTTTCTCTTTAAAGTGTTACAAGCTCTTGGTGCATAAAGAAGATCTGTAAAGTTGCAAAGACTAAAGTCTCAAATCCAAAGAGATATTCTTTATAAAAGTTCTGTCAGCCACGCCTACCTAAAACGGCTCGTTCTAACACGCCCCCACATATCTACATCACTATGTGGGAAGATTTGCATAACGCCGCCCAAATGTTCACGCAAAGAAAGAAAGGCGTAACTTTTATTCTCACTGTAGTATTGTTGCTGCAGCCATGTCGTGAAGGCGCTGTGTGTTTCGTTGTGAAAGTGAAACTACTTTGTTTGGTCTTCCAAAAGAGGACGATATCCACTTCGTCATGCCTGGAGCTGATCCGTGCTGGTCGCTGAGGGAATACATCAACTTCGCGCTGTGGATCGGCTTTCACCGTGGACGAAGCGGAGTCCAGCCCGGGGGCGTCACATGTGGTTGCCGCAAGCCTGCCGGCCGCTCCTTCGTTGAATTCGCCGCCTGCCGCTCACTCAAGGCCGCCGTGTAGCGCATGTTTGTCATTTCTCCGATCACAAATGCAGAGATGGTTTTATGTTTACGCGATGCAACGCAACACCTAAATAGACAGTATAAGTCATTATAATCCGTAATTATGTCCCCACTGGATGCAACGAATGCCTCGTTTATAATGGGTTTTCATGTTTTTGTCTCGTCGCTCCGGCCGGGACACGGCATCACAGTATGGTAGGGGCGTAACATTTCCATCACACGCTTGAGGTATTCGGCCAATCACAACGCACTAGATAGCTAGCCAATCACAGCACACCTCGCTTTTCAGACCGATGAGCTTTGTAAAAATCGATGCATTTCAGAAAGGCGGGGCATAGAGGAGAAACAATAATGTACAGTATGTGGAAAACAATGTTTGTTTTTTTTTACTTTAAACCGCATAAACATTTCATTACACCAAATACACAAAATAATGTTATTTTTAGCAACATATGACCCCTTTAAGAGTGGAGAGTAAACAGCCTTGCTCATATAAACTGGTCAAATCTAGAGACCAGAAAAACCTTGAATACACTGCAATATGGGCTAATAAGTAAACCATATCATCAACACATTGTTGATGCACTTATCAAAAGCTGTGTGGTTTTTCCAATTCTCCATTTTTCTTTCAAGCTATGACAATTGCACAAAAATCATTGGCTCTTCTGTGCCAGGTGGCGTCAAGAGTGAACATGTTAAAAAGAGCAGCACAACATAGGCGTTTTTGCACAAGCTCTTAGAATACAGGCTAAAAACACACAGAGATGGTGGAGGAGAAACAAAGAATTTTAACCTGCGCCTGTGCCAAACCAGCCTTCATGCTGAATACAACTAGTGGATCATGTACAGAAGTCTTATTAAACAATGATTTATCAGACTAAAATCATTCATTAAAACCACCAGTCACCTTAGGGAATCGTGCGGGTGGGAATGAGCAAGAAAACATTCCAGCTCATTAACTATGTTGAGAAGGACTATTCCTCGGTCTCAAGACATGTCGGCGCACATCAAATGGTGCTCCATCTGTGCCAGCGAATGACAGTTTGATTGACTGACTTGATTTGTCAGTTTAAGAATAAAAAGCAGGCCACTGCTTTCTGTGCTACTAGTGTCACCATGCGGTGACCGTTTTCATTTTGCCAAATGCTGCTGTCAGATTAGTTGGGATGTACAAACTAGAGGTCTTCACGGGTTAGATCCGAAAACCAGAGGGTCCGATCCCAGAGGGTTCGGGTCCAAAACTTCGACGAGTGCCTCAAGACACGGGTCGGGTTTGGTATTAGTTGCCTCAGGTCTTGGGTAATTTAAAATAAACTTGCTTTTTCCAAATGGACCCGGAAAGATCAAATATTTTTCCTTGGAAAGCTTGTGATATTTTGATGTCTGCCAGACTCATCATCAACTAATGTGCACAGTGTAACAGCTCCACCCAGAGTTCTGAACATTAAGATCAGGGTGTTGTCATGAATCAGACCTCATTTTCGTCCAGCAAAACACCCTCTTCTTAACATTTAAATTAGACAATTAAATCATTTTCTTTAAATGTTAAATTCGGAGAAATAGCTGAATAATTACCTTAAGATTTAATCTCACAAAAATGTGTACAGATCACATTTCATGCTTGAATCAAATAAATTATACATATATGGCTACAATATGGTTCCGACATGTTCTTAGCAGGTTTTGTGCCATTAACTGAGGCCTTGTCCACACGAATGCGGTTATTTTTAAAACCGCAGCTTTTTCTATGCGGTTTGGCCATTCGTCCAAATTTCTAAAATTTTTGAAAACGCCTGCCAGCCTGGAGATTTTCAAAAACTCCGGTTGCAGTGTTATCATGTAGACAGCGAAACTGGAGTTTTTGGCTTTGGCAAAGTTTTGGCTGTGGCTTGTAACGACGCTGTTATCTCCGCCTACTGGAAACTTTTTCAGGCTTCTGATTGGCCAACACGGCGTTACGGTTGAGATTATATCGCCACCTGTTGGTTTGGCATGCTCTTGACAGTGCTTCATAGAATGCGTTTGCGTTTTCATGTGGACAGATTTTTTTTAAACCGAAGGAGGAAAAAATCAGTTTATAAAAATACCCGTGTACGTGTGGACATGGCCTGATCAGCGAGCATTATTGTTTAAGTAACAGATTTTACCTAATTATTAGATAACTGTGCAAAAGGCAAGTGAACAATTCTGCAAATTCTGTAGCAGGTGATATTAATCTAATGGTTTATTATCTGGTGAGAGAGTATTGATGTCAGATTAAATTGCATTCCCATCATTGTACAAGTGTTCAACTAAAGTTTCAACAAAATTCAAAATATTCATTTATAATTACCTCAGGAAATTGTTAATATAATTTCTGAGAGAATAAATATTTCTTTTTTTTGGCATTTTTATTTAGTAACATCCACTGTACAGCACAAAAACACCAAAAAATACACAATATTTCCCACCTGTATGACATCCTCTTGCCTTCTTCCACAAAACCCACTTTATATCTGAAAGAAAACGTTTATGATGAATTCAGATGTTCCCTAACAACCCACCCCACCCAAGTGATCTCTACACAAACTATTTACACTATATACAGTCTTTTTACATCACTGTTGAATCTCAGTGTTAATTATTTCTTGGAAGAAGATCTGCTGATGGGGACCCAATGTCCATATGGCTTCCTGTCTGCTACGCTGTCGGCTCTTGATGTTACCTTACTGACATGGAGCGTTGGGCTGTTTGATGGTTTGGCAATGGTATTCTGTCAGTATAAAGAGTTAAGATCAATTTTAATATTTCAGTATACGCTTACGGTCATCATAATCGAGTAAGGTGTCATGAACTTACGTTGATGTTGAAGGTAATTGGCTTTCTCTTGGGTGATGGAGAAGTCTCTGCCTTGACATCATCATTGGCAACGTTTACCTAAAGACAGAAAAGTCTAATGAAATCGCTGTCTGTTTGATGTAAACCTAACTTCAGTAACACATGATTTTCATTTCGAAGTGAGGATACCCTCAGTTCGGTGTTTAAGTCATGCAAAAGAAGCTAATTGAAGGGACTCTGACCTGTGTAATGCCAGTTGCTGTCAAATCAGTCTGACATAAAAAAAACACCATTTGGGTTTTACCCATTTACTTTTTTTAATAGTACAAAAAGCAATTTTTACAAGCAAAAATAAAAATCTATACACAAAGGCTTTGTTCACATGGCACCCAATCCCAATTAGTTTCTCAAATCAAGACAATCAATTTGAGACTGACTGTCTACACTGTCATTTTAAACACAATAGCAACTCCTGAGGTATGACTATTTATAAATCTATGCATATGCAGTGTGTGAAATAGCTCACACTTCATATTAATCTAAATCATGAGTCCGAATAAGAAAAAAACAAAAAAAGCAAATCAAACCCAAATGCACACGATTTTGCATGATATACATTTTCCAAGTTTATATCTTGTATTTTTGTGAGGAAAGTCTTAAATGTCAGATATAAACAATTGTGATAAATTCTGAGTATTTAAATAAAATGTCACAATTACCTTTAAATTCTTTAAACAGCTCTGAAATGGGGGAGAAACAAGATAAAGAAAAAAAAATAATCATTTGGATTTTTTGCTGCTTGTATGAACAAAGCCCAAATTACTAATTTGTGAGACATTGATGAGTATATTTTTCCAAACCCCCATCCATCACCGCAGAGTGAGCTCTCTCTGGTCTTCAAACATGCTGAACAGATGAAAACTCTGGTAAATGACAACGCATCCCAGTTCAACGATCAGCAAACACAAGTCATTTCCTGTAGTTCTAACAGATGTAAAGATACACTACCATTCAAAAGTTTGGGGTTGGTATGATTTTTTTTTTATGCCTCATATACTCACTAAAAATAATTTATTTGATCAAACACACAGTAAAAACAGTAATATTGTGAAATATTACAACTTAAAATAACTGTTTTCTACTTGAATATATTATACATGTAATTTATTCCTGTGATGCCAGGCTGAATTTTCAGCGTCATTACGCCAGTCTTCAGTGTCACATGATCCTTCAGAAATCATTCTAATATGCAGATTTGCTGCTCAACAAACATTTATTATCAGTGTTGAACAGTTGTGCTGCATAATATTTTTGTGGAAACCATGATACATATTTTCAGGATTATTTGAATAGAAAGTTCAAAAGAACTGCATTTTTTTTCCAACATTATAAATGTCTTTACTGACACTTTTGATCAATTTAATGTGTCCTTGCTGAAAGTATTGATTTATTAAAATAAATTCTACTGACCCCAAACCTTTGTGTGTTTGTTGTGCTGTTGTGTGGTGGCTGGAAATGTTGTGTGAGGTGAATCAGGCAAATGCATGTGGTCTGTTTTTGTTCGACACAAGGCTACCGCTGATATTGTACACAATTACTTAACCTTTGCAGTTGTGCACATAAGACTTAAAGCTGGTGTCATTCAAGTCATGTGACCTCCCCCTCTCTGTCCAAAGGGTGGAGGAGTTTCAGCTCTACAGGAACAGAAACAAAGCAATTGAAGCTAAATGCCGCTCCTCAATACAGTGAGGAATAATAGCCATCTGCTCATTCATTCACACGCATACACACACACACTCTACAAAGTAGTACATACTCTTTCATGTGTACCATTACCTAATCCGGACAAGTGCTGTTCATCATTCCATTAAATCCATCAGGTAAAATCATTCATGTCTGAGGAGACAGACTACATGGTGACCCAGGTTGGGTAAGTACAGCGCACAATCACATATTAAATAGATGCCTTTCAATGGGTTAGTCAACGTCCCAAGATCATAGATATAACTTGAAGAACAAATCAGAATACGGTCAACCACTCAGGATGTTCATGCAACATTACAGATGTCTAACAAACACTGGGTGTGTGAGTTGTGACCGGATGGAGCCTTCTGATCAAAGATGAGCTTCACACCCTCACCGAGACATCCAGGGCTGGTCTCCTTCATAATCAAACCTACAAACACAAAGCATCAGACATTATGAACTAACAGGTAAATCAATCAAGAAATTTGATTATTTAATATCTATATTCTGCAGGTTTTAACAGAGGCCAGGGGTTTGTTCATGTATAGCATTCACCTAGTTTATATCATTTTTATTCCTAAAACCATGGTGACTTTTTCCCTTGGCTGTTGACAATTTGTGCTTTATGGGGTTATAAAAACAAATGTTCAAAATAATAAAAAATATAATTCTAAACACGTCAGATTTTTTTTAACTGGCTTTATCTAATTTTCAGAATTCTGTTTTGGAAATGTATTCAACTTTGTACATTTTCAGATCAATATTTGTGTATTTAAATCACCATTCTAGATAACTTGCAATACGAAACAATTGTCTTAATGTGCCATGATGAATAAACTTGGCATCAACGGAAATTGTTTTCATTTTAAAAGCAAGGACATTAATGTATTGGTATAATATTTAGTTTGCTATTCAAATCATAATGAGAGCCATATTTTCTAACGAAACTTTACAACAACAATAAAGATGAAAGCATTAATGAAAGACGAGGAGAAAGTGCTGGACCTGTAACACAGGCTCCGCCCCTCCTGTCAATCAAATTACACAGACTCCAATCTAGAACATTCCGCAAGAAACACTATAATAACTAACCAACGTTATCATAACCTCACTATAACAGAATCCAAATATCACCATCCATATAGTAATAAATATATTCGGACATGCTGTTCGCCTTCCAGTATTTACTGTTAGCATCGCTAATTAAAATGAGTATGATATTGCTAATTCAGCAAGGATTGTAGATATATAACAACGTAAAAGTGTTTACTTTAAACAACATTAAATATATAAATATTAGCTATACACAACATTTAACTCGTAACGTACCGTTAAATAGGTCTTGGTCCAACAGTGAGATGGCCGACTCTGAGGAAAACGCTCTATATCACGCGGTACTCCTCGAGCGAGCGAATTCAAAACAGAAACTATTTGAAATTCAACAACTGTCAAATAAGTGTGTGCTTATCTCAAAATAAAGTCCAAATTGAGGACACTTTATTGAAACAAAACGTGTTTCTGAGAAGCAAACGTCGTCGATTTCTCTCTCGCGGTGAAGCGAAGCGGCTCTTCTTCTTCTTCTTTTAGGATTTAATGGCGGTTGGCAAACCAACTTAAAAGGTGCATTCCCGCCACCTACTGGCAAGGAGTGTGAAGCGCACAATGAATAGGAACTTTAGAAACAAGAGCTTAAGTGAAGCGGCTCTTTCTTGTTTTTGTTTTTTTTAACCGAAACCCAGTGACGTCGTGGGGGGAGGGTCTAGAAACCATAGACATATAAATATTTATATGTCTATGCTAGAAACTTCATCAACGTAACAGTGTTTGATACAGAGATATGTAGGCTACCTATACAGTGCATATGGTTTGATAGACATGATTTTTTATTTTTAAATCACTATATTCTTTTACTGTTTTTATGTTAACTGAGTTGTTTTAATAATAATAATAATAATAAAATATATATATATATATATATATATATATCGACATCTGCATGCTGAAGACTTGACTAAGTTAATAACTGGAAATACTGTTGTATATTTACTTCACATTTACATATTGTTTAATTTAGCTATATACTCCTGAGAACCATAAAAAAAGTTTTGTGAATTATTATTATTATTATTATTTTGTCATCATTACACTGGTTGGAGCATAAGAAACAAATGTAAAAAAATATATATATTTTTTTTAAAATATATATTTTATTCATATTTTATTCTATGTCCTTTGTAGAGGACGCCAGGACAAAGTTATTCAAATAAATAAATAGACATGAGAGAAGGCATGTAGGCCTATATGCAAAAACAATGATTTACTTTCTTTTCATTCAACAATCAGTTTTTAGGTTTCAGGCTATTTTTAACCAAACTTTGTGCAAAGATGATTCTCAACTATGTTATGAAAGCTATAACAAAATGGTTTGATATACTACTGTACTTTATGGAATATGTGCGTAAAATGTCCATAAATTGATATTCCCATTCAATATAATGTATCTATACATTGCACCTAATTTGCATATTAAAGGCAGGGTAAGTGATTTCTAGTAGCCAATGTTGATATTTGAAATCACCAAAACAAACACGCCCCTACCCCAAAAGGGTCTTGCCCCTATTTTGTTAGCTCCGCCCCACACATACGTACGCAACCCAGGCAACGATTAGTTCTGTGAAACAAAGCAAAACCGATGTAACCCCGTGTCTACGGACGTGAGCGGCGCGGCGCAACAAATCCCCGACAGAAAACTGCTGCCGGGTTCTATTTATGACGTGCTGACACAAATTTCAAATGGTTTTCAACGGTCGTTTGAGCGCGTCCAGTGTAGGCAGACTTTAGCTGTTGTAGACACGGTGTTACTCACCTATCGAGAAGAAACAAAGCAACCTCGGCGTCCGATCGCAGGACTCCGCTCCTTGAGTTCTCTCCAGCGCCGGAAAGCTGATCCGATATTTACACGGGTCCTACTTCTTGCCTTATCGTTCCGCAGACATTTTCCTCTTTTGTTTTTTATCCGCCGTCTCTATCTTTCTGTCGCTCGGCTCGGCTAATGTCCGTCCCGTGCACTGAAAGCTCTCTCCTCCACATCACGAGTAGACACGCCCCTTATTGCTGATTGGCTACAAGTTTGTTTTGCTATTCGGCCCGAATCAGTTTTCTAAAGTGTTTTTGAAGAATTACATACCCTACCTTTAATGTGTTCTTGGGGCAAACCATAATGAAAAAAATAAGTGTTATAATGGGAGTAATAACGTTTTCATAAGAATATCTCATATTTCATAGGAATATTGATCTATAATTCTTTTCCCTATTGACTTATGTTTGTCCTGGTATCCTCTACAAAAGACATGAATTAAAACTATGCCCTGTTTCGTAAAACAAAAAGTCACATTCCGATTTGAAACCCCATCACATTTTTCTGAGAAGTTTTTTATGACAAACAATTTGAAAAGTAGTCAGATTTAAATGATAATTACAAAACATTATCATATTTCCCTAAGAGTGCTAAATTTGATCATTCTGTCAATATGAGTCATATTTAAAGACCAAGGAGAGGGAGTGTTTCTGATCAAACATTTGATATCTCTGAAAAGCACATCCAGACTTAAAACTGTGGCATGTAGGGTCTCAGAGAAATTCACTCACATATAATGTCCTCTACTCTACAGAGGACTAAAGTCTATGCCTGGGTCCCAGGAGGATATGTGTATAGTGTTTTCATCGGGTTGTTTAACACTAGTAATCCCCCTTGAAGTACTGTCAAACAGTCTCGCGTTTTATCTCGAGGTTTTATCCTGTGAACTCGCCTTTAACACAAATTGCATGATTCAGCATTTCCCCCCCTTCAAATACAAGAAGAACGGCTCGTGCTTGATACAGAAAACAAATCCTGAACATTACATCTAAAAATGGTGGTCGAAAGCCTTCTTCCAGCCAACTTTGGCTATGCAATTTTTACGTATTTGTATAGTTTTGTGATGTTGATGTATCTCGGGGTCCAAGTTGGTGGTGCACGGAAGAAGTTTGGAGTAAAGGTACGATAAGGCTTCACATGCAGTGCATGTTGTTACATTGCCTGAAATTATACTGATGCATAGTAAACTTTGATTTCTTGTTTGCAACCAATGCATGATTTATTGGTTTAATGTATTTTTCTGCTCTCTTGTTTTGTGTATAGTATCCCACCATGTACAGTGATAAGGAGCAAGTGTTCAACTGCATTCAGAGAGCTCATCAGAACACACTGGAGGTGTATCCACAGTGGCTGGTGTTCCAGACTATTGCTGCATTAGAGTATCCTGTGAGTATCACAGTTGTGTGCAATAATTCAAAGACACTCATGCAACTGCTGCAAGTGGAATCTAGAATGCCGTGGAATACCCACAATTTGGATTTCATTTCAAACATTGTGGTCGGCATTCTGTCAAGATTTGGTCTAAATGAATCATGTTTTGTAGAAAGATTTGTGTTTGTGCATTTATTCAATTTATTTTAATTGCAATTCCGCACATTCTTCTTCCTGCTGTTCCATTTCAAAATTCATTTTAATGTGAAGGTAAGCAATTCCAGCTTATAAATTGAAATGGAGCCAGTTCTTAAATTCTGCCCAACCCTTCCTTATATACCTGTGCATTACCATACCCTAATTTGTACCATCTTCCATCCTATGTAGTGGCCACTAGACGTTTCTAATATATTTAGAAACATGACAAAAGCATTTATCACATTAAAGTGTTGGGCTTGTGGCAGTAATGTTGTTTGTTCAAACCTTACAACGGTTAATATTAAATAAAATCATTATGCCTTTGATCAAAACAGTTGATCTTAATCATGGGTTTAGCAGAGGAAAGTCCTTGTAATGAGTGTTCTGTAAATCTCTGTTAAAAATGTTAATTCATTCTCTTTTCATGTGCTCTCCTTCTCTCATATGTACAGTACACCCTTTCACCCAGTTCACCTTTGCTTATCTGGCATTTTTTATCTCCCATATCAGATCGCTGCCTCTGTGTTAGGAGTCATCTGGGTTACAAGCAAGTTCTCTTATGCCTGGGGTTACTACAGTGGGGGTAAGTCTTTAAAATGCACATACAAAACAATGCATTTTCAATGTGTTTAGGTTGTTCTTTCAAACATTCATCTGAGTTTAACCTTCATCACCAGTGTTGTTTCTCTGTTTTAGATCCTGCTAAAAGGATGCGAGGTGCATACGGATACATCGGGCTGTTTGGAGTCATTCTGCTTTCCATCTCTGTTGCTCTTAAACTGCTTGGAGTGCTTTAAGGGAAAATACCACATAAAACCAAAACGTGGCACTTAATGTAGACTTCAGCACTTCACTTTTTTTACTCTCTTTTTTTAATTACATTGCTCCATCCTGTAGCTTTTACATAGTATGAAATATTTCATCATTGCATGGTAGTGTTTATGTTCATACAACCTTGGTTTGAGTTCAGCTTGTGTCATTTCAGTTTGTGGACCACCTTCTGTACAGAGCATTTCAGGTGCAAAATAGTGACGTGGGCAACATATCAGATACTGTGCTGGTTTGATTAGGATGTATGGTCACCCTATGTTATTTCGTTAAATTCAGACAAATGATTAATAAAATGTCTGCGTAAGATTCAAACAAACCATGTGTAAGTGCTTGAGTGCTTCAAACTGCAAGAAAATGCAGGGATCCTATACGTATAGTCATTTCTGAATGCCTTTAAAGGAGATTACAAAGTTTAAAGGTCTTGTATATGTGAAAGTTACATTAATTATGTGATTCTGATCTCTCATGTAATATGTAAAATGACATATGGCAGGGCTTTAGGACAACTGGAGCGTTAAATCATTTATAAACAGACCCTAGGGTGTTACTGTGATGCTATGGTGTTGTGGGTGGTTACACTGAAGTTCTTTTACACTGAAATTTGTAATCTTTCCATATGGCTCTTTATTGAGGGATAGTTAGACTAGACCCAAAAATGACAATTCTGCCATCATTTACCCACCCTCATGTTGTTCCAAACCTATATCCATTTTTTTCTTCTGTTGAACACAAAATATATATATATTTTTAAAATAATGTGGGTAGCCTGGTAGCCATTGACTTCCATAGTATGAAGGAAAAATAATACCATGGAAGTCAATGGCTACCACCAGTAACTGAGTAAATGATGACAACATTATCATTTTTGGGAAAATATCCCTTTAAGTGAAAACCACAATTTGGGGAGATTAATTTGTTTTACATAAACGTCTGAGAAAGTCTGATAGAATAGAGAAGTATTAATCAAGCAGTGCGGTACAAGCTATGTGGCCAGGTTTAATATGTAGGGTTTTTTATCAAAACACAATGTATGAACAATAGTAATGCAAGCACCAAGAAACTAGTATAACGCATTTACTAGTTTGAAAAGCTTAGGAGTCTTTATAGTCTTTTTTTAAAGACCTTAGCAGTTTTAGGAGCTCAGTTTTTCCAGGTTTGAAAATGGTTTCATTATAGTTATTATTACAAAATACAGTAGCCTATACAGAAGCATTTATGTTCTTTTCACTTGGTCTCATACAAGAAGTCATTGCAAGATATTTGTGGCTGTGTGCAAGATTGAGACATTTCACGGTCTACTGTTATATTTTTGGTTTGCATGCTGTGTTTAGATGTACTTTTATGTTTCTGCTGTGTAAACCACCTTTGCAAATAGTAATTTGACCATACAGCTGATCACGTGATGCCAACAAAGGCGTCCATGAGGGGGGCGACTCGTTCCATTTATAATAAAATGGCTTTTTCCTAAACGTATTCAATCTAGAATTTCTCTTATCCCGTAATTGTATCAGACGTGCTGTTAATTGATCTATGTGCTTAACCTTTAGTGAGTGCACATTTTGGTTGATGGGTGTACGCGACTGATGCAGAGCGCACTGCGCATGCGCGACTCAGAGCCACTGTTTGAGGCGGAAGACTGCGGAGTGTTTCTCCACTTACTGCGAACCACGAGAAAACTCGAGAGAAGTGCAGGTAACACATCACTGTGCGATAAAGTACGAGTCCCAGTGATCATCCATTAGATATGCTCCGTTATTGTGCTTTTATTTACCCGCCATGCGTTATAGAAACAGTGATGTAGCAAATTTGGGTTAGAAATCAGCCGGACATGAGAGATCAAATATGTCTACAGCGTTAACGCTAGATGTTTTCGCCCGAAACGTAGTTTTGAACTGTTATGTTAAAGATCTCTTATGTTAATATTCAGATGTTGGTCGCAAAAAATGACGGATGGAAATCCTTTTGTTTGTTATTAGTGTTTGGTTCAGGATGATCATGTGTGCGTTTCGTGTGCGCAGTGATGCTGCGTCGCTCTTGCGCAGTTACTGTTTGTGTACATGACTGCTGCTCAAATAATTCGGGAACTAATTTTTCCTCATATGTTTTATATATATATGCATTTTCAGCAGCCATTCTTTTTGAGTCTTCAGAGTGACTTGCTTGATCTTTTAGAAATCATTCCAGTATGTTGATTTGGTGCTCAATTATTAACTTCAGAGCAGACTGCGCTTGTCGGAAGGAGGGACTTTGTAGAAAACGAAGCGTTTGAGAGAGGCGGGGCATAGAGGACCTACAATAATGTACAGTATTTGAAAAATAATGTGTTTTTTGAACATTAAAGCATGTCAACATATTCTGTTACACCAAATACACAAAATAATGATCTTTAAAATAGCATCATATGACCCCTTTAAAAAAATAAATACAAATCCAAATCAAAATGACAAAAGCACAACAACAAAATTGCTAAAGTTTTTACTAAAAAATAAAAACAGAGAATCTAAAACTAAAAACAAATTTAAAATATAAAAAACTTCACTGTAAAGCTGAATAAGTTGTCAAAACCTTTAAAAAAATTTTTACTTTACATTGAAAATTTAATAAAGTTAATAAATTCAAATTTTAAGTAAGCAGAACTGACAGATTTTTTATTTTTGTACCCATAAATGTTAAGTGCTCCTAACTTGAAATATTCGAGTAAGCTAACTCATACGTTTAACTTAACTCTTTCCCCGCCAAACACAGAATTTTCGGGGTTTCAGCGTTCTCGCTCTTATACGCTCGGGGGTGCTATTACGCATCTCCTGAATGAGTAAAATGTGCCGATCAAAAACGCCTGCTAGGAAAATGCAGAAACGAGCGATCTCGTATGTATGCATATGCATATGAAAAACAATGCGATCATCAACAATAGACAGCATATAAATGAAAACTGCCTAATGTTACAGAGTGAAATGTCGATCCTGGAAGTGACAAAGGACTGTGAAGCTTTGGAGGTGTTGATGGAAATGATCTACTGCATCTACAGTGCCTTGATCATCCAACTGAATATGATCCAGATGAAGTATTTGATAAAAAGCATGCTCAAAATGTTGCTTTTAAAAAAAAAAAAAAAAACTTACCTACATTGAAGTGTTCATAAAAAGAAAGCTTGAAGCTTTTTAAGTAGAGGCTCTGATCTTTATTTTGGTGTATTGCATGTTCAGATATTCATACAACAAAATATTTTGGGGGCCATGAAATTTTTGTGAAAATCTTCAAAAATTCTGGCGGTGGCTGGCAACTTTTTTCAAAAACGCTGGCGGTGAAAGAGTTAAAATGATCACGTAATCTCAATTTAAATATTTTTAGTATTGGAAACTTCAATTCAGTAAATGCTAACTTGCTAACTGGTAACTGCTGCTCATTGCTGAATGAGTAAGGCAATATAGAACATAAGCATAATTCTGTTCTGAAATCAAAGCTCATGCTCTACTCATCACAATGAGAAACCCAACATAACAGAAACTCTTCTAAACTAGCATAGCAAAACATTAAACAATACCAAATCTCCCAATTCACATTAATCTTGCACAAAAACATTATATAACACTTAACTTTTTTAAAGAGCATTTAAGTCCCTTTCAAGTGCCAAAGCATACTGGAAAATAGAAAACCCAGCCTGTTAAAGTTAAAATTAAGTTTGCCTAAATTTAAAGAAACAAGCTCATTAAACTCAACAATGAAACAAGTATTCAGATTACTTCAAATTTGTCCGTTTCATGAACTTGAATGAAAAAGAAAGTTCTAAATACTCCTAAAAGTTAATTGGATTGAACTAATTTGTTTAATTGAAGTTCGCCCTACTCAAACCATTTAATTATATTGAGCATTAGCAGTGTACAATAGAATCTCAGTGATACTAAAATAAGACTGATTTGAATGCAGGATCAATGCGGTGTCAAATGGCCAGGTGAGGGGCGACAGCTACAGCGATGGCTGCTTGGGACAGACAGGTATGTGCTGCAGGCGTTTTTTTCTTTCTTTCAAGAGGCGGCATCAAATGTACTTTTAATGTGTGTTTTTGTGTAGGTGCCAGAGTTTGGCTCTTCATCGGGTTCATGTTGGCGTTCGGGTCTCTCATCGCCTCTATGTGGATTCTGTTCGGTGGTTTTGTTGTGACTGGTGAGAGAATAAGACCGATTTAGCCTTTTATAGAAAAAGATCATTCATGTTTCTATCAGTATACATTTGCTCATTATGTTTATTTCCCTTTTTTTTCTTTATTATGGATGAACAGACAAAAAGGATCTGTCCGTGTATCCTGGTATTGCAGTTTTCTTCCAAAATGCATTCATCTTCTTTGGGTAAGTTTGGAAATACAGTAATATTGGGAAATATTATTACAATTTAAAAGAACTGTTTTAAAATGTAATATATTGTAAAAAGTAGTTTATTCCTGTGATGCAAAGCTGAATTTTCAGCATCATTCCTCCAGTCTTCAGTGTCACATGATCCTTCAGAAATCATTCTAATATGCTGATTTGCTGCTCGAGAGACATTTCTGATTATCAGTGTTGAGAAAATTTACTGCTTAATATTTTTGTTATAACTGTAATACGTTTTTTTTTTCCACGATTCTTTGTCTAAAGTTGAAAAAAGAACAGAATTGATTTGAAATATTTTTTGTTACATTATAAATGTCTTTTGTCACTTTTGAATAAAATAAGAATAAAATTGAATAAAAGTTTTTGTTTTAATCTTGGAAATAGGGAATTTTAACTAATTCATATTGAAATGAATGGAGAATGAAAAAGACCATTTTTGCTATTGATGCTAATGAATAATCATTAAAATAGTTAGTTTATTAAAAGTCCCAATAATGGGAATTAAAATAATTTAGAATGTATCATGAATAAATAATTATTGCTCAATCTGTAATTACCTGCATTAGTGGTCTGAGATTTTAAGTTTTATTTGTGGTCTGAGATCGAGTATTTATTTATTATAAATTGCTTCGCAAATTCTGATTTTATATATATATATATATATATATACAGTATATACATATATAAGTGAAACTATGATATTTTGATAGAGTTCTAATTTTGATTCTCCTTCTCTCTTGCAGTGGTCTGGTGTTCAAGTTTGGCCGAACTGAGGACCTCTGGCAGTAAAGATCCATTTCCTTCAATCAAATCCCACAGTCCCATCAACACACAATTCCTCTGTACTTATTGCTGCTTATTTGCACTCTACATTTCTTTCTCATTTCTTTTCCAACTCCTCGGCTGACTTCAGTTCTTAAATATGTTCCTTCTTCCTTTCTTTGTCTCGTTTCCTGTGTGGCCACAGTGGGCGCCCACAGCGAGAGAAATGCGAATCAAATCCAGACTCTGCAGTCAAAATGGACACATTTAGACCTCATCCTGTGTGTATAATAAAAATGACTTGTGTTCAATGGAATTACAATGACAAGATTGCAGAATAGTGACTTTCAGATTGGAAGTGCACAACCAATATCTTCAGCCTTCAGAAAAGCATTATTGAAATGTTTGTTGAAATCTTTAATAAGCAAAATGAGTATGACTGGCTTTCAGTCCTTCAGCTTCACTGTGTTTCTACTTTCAATAAAAGTCTTTTCTTTTTTTGCATAGGCCCCCGAATTTGTGTCTTTCAGAACACTTTCATTCATAATCTCTTGAAATTGTGCGCAGTGTACAGATTTGAGAACACACTGCTGTATAATTGCGCCACAATCTTCAGTCAGCACTTTATTCTACGTCTTTTGGAAGATTTTGATATATTGTTATTTGGGTTCCCACACTTTTTTTTCCCAGTCATTCAGTTTTTTTTAATTAAAAAAAATATTTTACACGAACTGCACTGAGCAAAAGCAGTTTTTTTTAGAGCCTAGTATAAGTAGAAACGTGTATTCACTGTCAATATTTTGAATTTCTGTGCAACTAGTAAAACCAAACAGCATATTTCTCTTGAGTTTTTCTTGACTATTTTGTGTTCTGGAGCTTTAAGTTCACTCTCGGTGTATGTTTGGGCATGTGGGAGTTGTTTAAAAATGTTAAATGTTTTTAAAAAGCACAATTTCTTATTTCAATGGGTGAATAAGGTGAGACGTGAGTCTGTCAACTAACAAATTAGAGATTCTGTGATTTCTACATGCTAAAAGAATGTAACATTTTAATGTAATCAATGTCTCTTTCTGACAAAAAGTAGCTGAACTTCTTCCAACTGTGGGTTTAAATGAATAAAACTATTGTGAATATGTACAGAACCAGTGTTTTTTTTTTCTTTTAGAAAGTGCAATCTTTCACTATATTCAAATGCAGATGAATAACATGGGTTTGTGGATTATAGTCAGTGCACTGTGCAACAGAAGGTTATTTTTATATATTGCATTAGGTGGTGGTGTGGTGTATCAGTTTGTCATTGTCATCCTGAAACAAACTTTCATTTGTCTTGCTTCCACTAAAGTAATTTAATCCAGCCTTAACTTCCAGGGGCTTGGTAATGTCTTTGGTGGTATTTTGTATGATTAGAAAGCACAATGCTTTCCATTCAAGGACATCTTATCTTGTAAATTGTTTACTTTGCAATGTCTAACCTCTCAAACATGCACACACACAGATATATTTTATGCTAACTGCATTCATGCATACCTGGAGTCCTCTTATCAATTTGTCCATAAGTTTTTCATTTCTGTACAACCAAATTTGGAAACTACAAGAGAAACAAATACATAATTAGCGATCATAAACATGTTTGTAAATGCATTTTTAATTTGGTTTAATGTCATTAATTCTACTTTTAAATGATAAAAGATAAATGCAAACACTGTGAGGTTAAGGAGTGGTGTTAAGTCATTGTAGACAACATATTTAGAGTGATGCAAATGAACAAAATCCTTCACCTCCCAGAATGCCTGGTCATCAAAGCACTTCAGTCCTGCTGGGGTCTCCAGATACTCCATTTCAGGAAAAGTCCTGCAAATTTTAATTGTAGTTGTATGTTTAGTTTGCCTCGTTGAACCAAAACACAAAACGAATTGGTCAAAGTCAAATCTAAAATGCATAACACATTAAACAGAAGCAAATGAAACATATTAATTCTAATGATCTTTAGTGTGACTGTATCAGTGTTGTTGTACCTGTAGCTGTGCCCATCACCAGACTCATACACGCCTTTATGAGGAGAACACAGATATGATACTTACACAGCGAACTGCACCGCTCTGAGAACTCAGATACAACACAGTCAACATTAAAGGGAAAGTTCACCCAAAAATGAAAATTTGCTAACAATGTACTCACCCTCAGGCCATCCAAGATGTAGATGAGTTTGTTTCTTCATTAGAACAGATTTGAAGAAATATAGCATTCCATCACTTGCTCACCAATGAATGGGTGCCGTCAGAATGAGAGTCCAAACATGACTCCAGTCCATCAATTAATGTCTTGTGAAATGGAAAGTTGTGTATTTGAAAGAAACAAATCCATCATTAAGGTGTTTTAACAGTTGTTTCTGGCCAAAATACAAATCCACAATCCATAATAAAGCTTCCTCCAGTGAAAAAGTCCATCCCTTGTTGTCCTCTCACATCAAAATCCATCAACATATTTCTTTAGAAAGGTTTTGAACTGTTTCCGCTTGTATCTGTGCATATTTCTCTCTTGATTCAGACGAGACGACTTTTTCACTGGAGAAAGCAAAATGATATCGTATTTTTTTCTTCTTTCGTTTTCTTTCTGTTTATTTGTATAGCACATTTAAAAACAACTTAGGTTGGACAAAGTGCTTTCCAATAAGACAACATATACCGTAGAGAGGGGGGAAATCACTATTTTAGTTGGAACCAATGGTTTTAAGTTACAAAACGTCTTAATGATGGATTTGTTTCTTACAAACACACAGCTTTTCACTTCACAAGACAATAACTGATGGACTGGATTACTTGTGGATTATTGTGATGTTTGGACTCTCACTCTGACGGCACCCATTCACTGCAGAGGATCCATTGCTGAGCAAGTCATGCAATGCTAAATTTCTCCAAATCTGTTCTGATGAATAAACAAACTCATCTACATCTTGGATGGCCCGAAGATGAGCAAATGCTCAGCAAACTTTCTTTTTTAGGGGTAAAGTATTCCTTTAATGACATTTTATGGATACACGTCACAGGTTTGAATAAAAGTGAAAAACCTTTTACGTTGTGCTTTCGTTACTGGCCAGCCGTAGAAATAAAAGAGCAAACCATCCCAGAATTCCCGGAACGGCATGCACGTTGAGGACGCTGCAGGTGTCATGACACTCAAAAGCAAACAGCATGTGATTCTGGATGAAAGAGAAAAACAGAAAATCATTCCTGACAGTTAACGTAATATCCAGTATACACATCCAAAAGTGTGAGAACACAGAGAAAATCCTGAATTAAAAATTAAAACAAAATTTCTCAATTTTAAAGCATAAAACATTATTCATGTCAGCTCAAGTGTTCCTGTCATTAAAGCAGTATGGGTTTATTTTTATTGATTTATTTAGTTTTTTTAGTTTTGGGAGTGCTCTCTCTCTCTCTCTCTGTGACACCCTTGCTTGGTTCTCTTTGAAATGAGCTAACTGATGTGGGTTGGGCTAATTAGTCAGATCGGGCGATACACGTTACTGAGAGCCTTTAAAAAGCACTCCGTTTTTAGCTTTTAGTGGGAAAAAGTGATGAAAATATTGTGTTGACGGAATGATTGTGATTATTGAATGAGTGTCACTATTAAGAAACTATACTTTAAAAGTGTGCTTTTAAACTGAGTTTGGTTTATTTTTTATTGGAGACAGAAGGAGAAAGGCTTTCTTCTTTGGTCTCTTGGGTTTTGATTTTCTCTTGAAAACCTAGCTAGCCAGGTGTATTTGTAAAGAAAGACCCTCTACTAGCAGGCAGTTTAAAGGCACAATATGTAAGTTTTCGCCGCTAGAGGGCGCGTATTCAAAATAAACAAAGAAACAAAGGCGTAGTTTGATGACGGCGTGACTGAGTGTGGAGTCTTCATCCCCACAGCTGACGCAATCCGACGGCACTCGGGCAGAAATCATGTTCATGGATGAGCTAATGATTTATTAACGTTGTAGTATGAAGCAGGGTGAGGCTGAAAGCCGTCGAAGCGAAACGAGGCCGCTGAACGAGCACGACACACGTACGGCTCGAAAGCAGCAGAGCTTTTATTATGCCACAGTCGACTGCTTCCGCTCCTTCCGGTCGTGTGTATGTGGGGTAAAGCAGCGCTGTTTTATCATACTAGATACGTTTGAAAGTTCTGTTATAATGCTACTCTGTGCGGTCGTCACCCGTCTATTCTTTGGTGTTTCCATGTTTTCTACAAAACAAAACCGAGGGGAAATCGAGGGGTTATGAAGTCATTGGCAGGCGACACAATGACACTATGGACACGGCCCGTGTCACTAGTTAAAATTGCTTATTTCTCTGGATTTAAACATTCTTCGAAACATTTGGGATAATATAAGAACACAAGTCCGCAAAATATATAACACTGTTCTAGTGGTTTTCGGATATTTTAATAAAAAAATCGTACATATTGTGCCTTTAAGTGTTGTGGCTCTCCTCAAAGCCTGGTCTTTATAGGTCGCTCATTTTGAAACACTGATTTTAATGTTATTTTAAACACATTTAACCTTGCCATAGGCTCCACCACAAAATCCATCTTGACACCCAAACCAGTTTGATATAGACCTTATGCGCCAGAGAAACGAGCACGCAGCCATCTTTAGAATGTTGTCTTTGAACTTTTTTGCAGTAGCTCTATATATTTCTATGGCATCACTGTCGAAGAGTAATTAGCTGGTGAAGTGGATTTACTTAATGTAGAGTTAATGAAAGTTATCATGTGCATTGCAATGTTAGAAGCGGATGTCATAACAAATGTCAGATTTTAAAACAAGCGGTTCATTCATAAATTTGTAAGCTCTTACCTTCATGCTGTGGAAATACAAACCGGAAGACAATGAGCACAGTGCTGAAAATGGGCGTCAATAACAAATAGTTATTGATAATAATTTGAATTAGATTTTTTAAAAATATATACAGTATATTCTGTTTTTGCTTTAATTTTAAAGTTTTAGCAATTTTGTTGTAAGTTTTAGTAATTTTTTAGTTTTTGTTTTGTTTAAATATGTCTATATCGTTTTTGAGTTTTAATTATTTTAGTTTATTATACTTTACTATAATTTTTATATGTATTTTTTGTTTATATTTATTATTTTAGTTCATGCAGCTTAAAAATGAGAAATGTTACCTTTGCAATTAGCTGACATTTTAATTATAGAAATTTTATTTCAGCTAATGTTTGTATATTATTGCATTTCAAGTAATGAAAAGTTATTTCTAGTAATGATTTTTTTTTTATGGTTTTAGTGAATGGTTAACGATAATAACCCTGACTCAAACAAGATAAACATTAAACTTTCTTGTTCCTCCTCAGTTAGATATTACAACACTCTGAGTTCTCAATTCGACGGCACAGTAGACGAGACTGGGAAGAAAAAAATTCAAAATTTGAATTTACAAAATAAAAATTTTGTGACCGATGTGGATTTATCTTCATGTAGCGGAATCCCAAGGCTGATAAGAGATAAGGAGCTCTAGACGTGAACCTGTGCAGAGGAAGTGCAGCAAACACCAGTCAAACATATTACTCATATCATTATATCCAATTAATTATCTGAAAATCTGGTCAGCATTCCTGGATCTCATCTAAGTGAACATGAAATGCTGTTGACAACCCATTTTACTTTCATAATGTGAAACAGTATTGATATAATATAATATTATAATTGTTTTCTACTATGTGAGGAAGTTGCTATGTGGGAATTGTTCCTACAGCCGCTCACCATGTTCATCTTTCCTTTGGAGCTAGTGAGCATAGAGACAGACAGTGCCATGACAACACTGACAGCCAGCGACAAATACGTCCCATATATGACAGTAAGCTTCAGTCCTCTCTCCCACTTGTGATCTCCCACCAGTGTCGAGTTAAAACTGGGCCAGAACATCCACAGGAACATGTGAGGAAGAGAGAAAG